ATAGTGGTAACATTCCAATGAGTCACTGGAGGCTCAAAGGTGACTGGGGGTTTACGGTCCATAGCACCTGAAAGTGAAAGTGGGCGCTATCAGAGTATCTACAGTGACAAGAGGGCATGGTCAACGGTGACCTGAGGCACACAGCTGCTTGGGGCTGTACCCGACCTGCAGACCCCACTGGAGGGAAAGTGTCCACTACTGTTCTTTTTCCTTTATTTTTTTAAGGATCATTTTATTGGGGGCTCTCATGACTCATAACAATCCATACATGAATTGCTGGCCTGGAAGGGTTATGGCTGGGGTCAGAGACCCACGTTACCCAGGGGAGGGGCCGTCTCAGTGGTCAACTGCCTTCGTCCATTCCAACTCAGGGTGACCTCACGTGTCAGAGTAGAATGGTGCTCTGGAGGGCTGGCTGGCTTTCTGGTTGAGCACCAGGCCTTTCTTCTGAGCTACCTCTGGGCAGACTTGAGCCTCCAACCTGACGGTTGGCAGCTGAGTGTGCTGAGTGTGCTGTGTGTGGCACCTGGGGAACTTTGTTTCGGGCACGCTGCCAAGTGGAAGTAGGTATTAGCCTTTGGCGGTACACTCACTGATGGGGGCTCGGCAAAGGAGGTCCTGCTAGGGAAGCCCCGTGCGTGCGGCTGTGTCAGCAACCTGGGGGCCTCTTCTGCAGTCCAGGCGAGGCGGGGCACTTCCTCCCCAATGCTGACCAATCTCCCTGCCCACCCCAGAAGTGAGCTCCTAACTTTCAATGTGAACAAACAGGGCTTCCTATGCCCCCAAGCTCTTGCCGCCACCCGCGGGCCTGTTTGAGCTGGCAGCTTCCGACCTCCGTCAGGGGCCCTTCGCTTCCCCACCTTAGCTCTGTGGCAACCGGCCAGCCAACAGCTTCCCTGTTGCAACTGACCTGCGGCCGCCATTCTCCTGATCTAACTGCCTCCCTCCGGGTGCCACCTCTGAAACGCGGGGCAGCCTCACTCTCCGTTTCTTTCTTTGGTTATGTTTTGCTGCGGAGGAAAGACAGAGCAAAACACATAGCAACTGGCTTCCCCACTTACAGCTCGGCAGTCTGCGCTGTGCCAGCCTTCTCCCTGGACTGTTGCTCCTCCCA